AGGGTCAAAACAATACTGTGGATTACCAAGGGGCAGGGAGAGGGGATCAAAAATTATAAAAAATTGCATCATGTGATTAATAAACGCCCCCTATTTGGACGAAAGAATTTTAGATAATTATGTTCATTAAAATAATTCCTTAGGGATGAAAACGAAAAGTTTCGAACCTTTGCACGAAGATAGTTATACAGCAGGCAACCCTGAATGGTACTGTTGAATTGAGTCCCTGTATAATCCGACAGATCCTTGAAACTTGCTTTCGATACATCTTTTTGTTTCATCATTGAAATTTCCTTGGTTTCTCTTTCGAGAAACTCTTTTTTATACCATGGACAATTTAACCAGCTGAAGAATAGCGTATCCTCAGTCCGCACTTTTACATGGAGATCCATTTCGATGTTGGGCATTGAGTTAAGTACTAAGCCGGACGACAAGAAGAATGTTTCGTCGATGAGGGGATTCACTGCGAGCATTCCGAGTGCTATTAGTTGGGCTGTTTGTTTTGACGGCGAAAGATCCGCTGCTCGGAAATAAGTTGTGTCACTCGGCAATTGTAACGAAAATTTCTGCTGGGGTGAAAATAATCCGCCATAATTCATACGCAAATTTCGTCCTACTCTCACAGCGTTCTGTTTTCCTTTCTGCAAAAAAAAGGAAGTGGGAAATTACTTTTCTCTTTATATACAGGGTGACGTCAGCACCTTGTTTACAAATTGTGAGGAAATATAGAATGGAAAATCAGTAATTCGGTGGCATAAAAATGATGACATTACGATAATAAATTTTTGAATAGTGAACGTTGGAATTTTTCAATGATTTACCCAATAACATGGTGGTCGTCTCCCGCTATCCCGCGATGATTGATGAGGCTCCACCAGTTATCAACTGGACGACATTTCAACTACGACATCATAGCAACTAGGACATTTCAAGTGAGATTTTTCAACTGCGACATTCAAACTTCGACGAATCCACTGAGATTTGTTAACTGCGCCACTTAAACTAGGTTTTAAACAACAGTATAGAAAATTAACAATAATATAGCGGTGAACATAATTCTAGATTTACTATTTGAACTTCCAAAAAAAAACAAATACTTGAACTAAACAATCAATAAGCCCAAATTAATTTAATCAACCGATACTCGCGGTTGTAAAACATCATCGTTCACCATTAATAACATCAATCATAATAAATATAATGAACAAACGATAATAAATAATCATAAACCACAACACATGATCAGTTCATATTAATAGCGTTACGAAGGATGTATACAAGAGTCAACACATGGCGAAAACGCCTGTTATACTCTCTTCAGCAAATTGAAGAAATTTTGTCAAAAATATTGTAAAAACGGCAGTAAATATTTTTCAAAAATACATTTGAATCGTTGAAGCAGAAAAATTTAAGTCGAAATGTCGTAGTTGAAAAATTATAGTTTTAATGTCGCAGTTGACAAATTTTAATTCAAAAGTCGCAGTTGAAATATCGTCCAGTTGATAAGAGATGTCACCGATTGAAAATGGTGATAGTACAACAATTGTGGCGATATTTACTGCGATAATTTTAGCGATAGCCTTAGTGAAAGCCTATTATCGGAATTTAGTAGAGAAAATACGTAAAAATTACATTTCGAAACGTAATCCGCGAACCAAGTAAAATTCAATAAAAAGTGTGAGTCGGAACTGAAATTGTACGAATCACCACGTAAATTCTACGATTTGTTCCGTAAAAATTGACAACCCGTCTGATGACTCACTGCTGTGGGAACAACAAGTCGTTTCATAATTTTTCCCCAACAATTGAGAAATTTTACGGACCGGAACGTAGAAATAACTCACCAGCTTCTTAAAAATTTTTGAACGTTCACGAATTTTTTATTTTAGAGGCATAATAAGTCGGCAAGTTTATGTAAGATTTTACATCTTCGGGAAAAATTACGTGACAATTTCGTACTTTGTTCGGTGATGCACCTGAAAATTCACTGAACGTTTCAGATTTCTTCTCTTCCATTCCTATAAAAGTTGCCGGAAAACGATTCCCCATTGCGGATTACGTGAATTGTTCCGTAATTTTTACTGAATATTTCTCTCCGTGAAATAGTACTTTTCGTCACTAGGTCGAAAGAATATTTTTTGTCAATTGTCCGTAGACAAATGACACAGTAAAATGACGCCGCGCGTGCGTGAAATGCGGCCTTACGTACTAAATGGCGAAAAAACCGCCACATTGTGATGAAAAATATTGTTCGTAACTCGTGAAAAAATGTTTTTTAGCTCGTGGGATTATAAACCTCCCACTCGCCAAAAAACACTTTTTTGCACTCGTTACGAAATATACTAATCTTTTCCGTAATTCCGGAGCGAAATGTGGTTGTAGAAAATTTTACGGAACTGTCACGGCATTTTTCCAGAGCGTTCCGTGATTTTTATCTGAAGACCGAATGGGCGCTACAGCGCGTTGTAATTGTAACAATCATAATTGAAAATCTCAGAAATAAATTAATCATGAATTAAATTTGGCGCCTCAGACGACTGGAACCAATGAAGAATAAGCGTGACAGACTTGCGAGATATCGATAGTTCTCGACTTTCAGTGTATGTTCTTTTTAGAATATGATCTATGAAAAATTACGATATCGTCACTTAAATTTTCTGAATCGATTCCGTAATCGGTGAGCGAATTGGGAGTTCCGTAATTTTGATGTGGATACGTCTATGGTTTCAATATGATGTGCAGTGCCATAAGGCGCTGCATTTCTATTGGAATTGTAGAAAATTCTAGACATTTCGAGGTAATTCGAGAAGTTTCTTCAAATTTGGCAAAAATTCAAGGAGTTTCTAGAAATTTCGAGGGAATTCAAGGAATTTCTAAGAAATTCAAGAAAGAAGGAAAGATTATGGACGTATCCACGTACAATTACAGCTGTATCGAAGATACAGCCGCCAGCAATTTTTACTGAACATTTCTCTCCATATAAAAATCGTGCATATGCCGTGGAAAAAAAGGATTCACGAAGGCTTAGTATATATTAATACTATTCTATATAATTATTCACTTGTACATACACTCGTCAACTGGTCGACTCCCGCTGGCATCCAGGAAAGATCGATTTGAGGGATCTTCGGAAAATACCCCCTGATTTCGCTGGGAGTACTCTCTGTGTGATGCGCGAGAACTTGAACTAGAACAAGTTCTGCACTGGAGAACTTTGAATGTAAGATAAAACAAAATATTGTCCATACGTAATTGAACTTCATCGTACAAAACTAGCGAGCTTTAGGAGGAGTTGAAGAAGACTGAGTGGGAACTTGTGAGAGGGGTTTAAATAGTCTCGCCAGCAACTACCTGGCGATCTGGCGATTGAAGAGCCATTGTATTGCATGGCTATTGCACTAGGGATAGCATGCCTCGGGCCACCTTTGTTCAATTCCCTTGGCAAAGGGAGTGCACGATATGACAAGGTCATTAAAAATCTATTTAGCTCCATTGTTGACGGCAAAGGTAATTATGATGTGCGTTTTCCAGCAAACATGAATATTACATTAACAATTATTTTTACGTCACTATATATCACAGAAGTGCATAAAACTCCATTTCTCTGATTCACCACTAATTTCGTGCGGAAATATTATCAATGGCATTTTATTTTCCTGTCGATCTCCGATGACGCATATCAAAAAGTCGAAAAAATATTAAGCCCCATCGACTCGGGCTTGTATGTAACAATGAAAAAATGAATATGCTTTTTTGTAGCACACTTTTCATTCGATTTGTGCTCCCACCGAATTTTGTGAAGAAAAAAAAATTTCAAAAAATTTTTACATGTGGGGAAAACTAATTTTGAGTTTTGAAATTCCAAGAAATTTCCGTAATTCGCTAATTTTTCCGTGACTCTCAGATCGATAAAATTCCCTGACGATTTCCGACTTTCCGGGTTGCACTGGCCGCTAATGGCCACCTTCAATTTTTCGAAAGTCTTTTTTCTCAGATTTATCCGAAAATTTTCTTCTTCAGATTTATTTGAAATTTTCTTCTCTTCAGATTTATCAGGAAACTTCTCCTTCTGATAAATCTGGTATGAATAGGACTTTGTTCTGCAAAAACGTTAAATACTGCATTTCTATCGATCAATATTCAAATGGCGGAATAATCCAACCGAATGCCCCATATACTTATTTCGGATGGGCGTAATCGAACTAGCGGTTGCGGAGATATTTGATCTTTTGTATGAATCGATATCGTGAAAAGGGTTCTAGGAATCTTTTCCCCGAGACCGAATTTCCCGAACAAAATTTCCCGAACAAAATTTCTCCGAACAAAATTCCCCCGAACAAAATTTCCCCGAAAAAAATTCCCCCGGACAAAATTCGACAAACAGAATTTCTTTTGAAGTCGCGCTCGTATAACCGGCACGAGGAAAGTTAGTGGTGGGGATATCAGTTTAAGGATGTATTAACACCCTTTTCGCCAAAATTCACGTTTTTTTAATTTTTCTGGCAAATTGTCGATCGGATTGATGTAAAAAAATATACCGTTTTTGCGTTTTGTCATTACTTAATGACTCACGAAATTTCATAATCGTGCAATCATTTTTCTGCGTTTTTTCTAAAACTTTTGGGATATTCACAAAACTTTGGAAAAAATGCAGGAAAACGATTGCAGTACCGTGAAACTTCGTGAGTCAGTCAATAACAATAAAACGCAAAAACGGTATATTATTTCGCGTCAATCCGATCAATAATTTGCCAGAAAAATGAAAAAAAAACGTGAATTTTGGCCGAAAGGGTGTAGTACATCCTTAACTGTGTTGGGTTTTCAGTTGAATGTTGATTATTTTGTATTTTATTCGTGTCTAAATTCTTAATCATTCAGTCCAGATTCAACTTGTATACAGTGAGCCACGAGGCGAAGGGTAAATTTCTTGCTAATATAAATTAAAATTACAGTATCTTAATTACACCTCAAAATGTTAGAAGTGGTTGTTTTGGTTCTCGTCACTTCTTTTTTCTTAGTGTTTTTTGGTGTGAATTCTTATTGTTTATTAAAGACTGATTTTCTTGCAAAACTGCTGTATGCCATTTTTTATGTCTTTCCTCTGTCCATATATTCAAAAGGGAAATTGAGTCCGGGGAAATTTTTTTCGGGGAAATTGTGTCCAGAGAAATCATGTCCGGGAAAAATATCTCCTACCACCCGTGAACAGGTCCTATATCTCCCTGAAATCACCCTGTTGAATGTAGTTTCGGTTGTGTGTAGGGATGCGCAAAAATTTTATGACATGTTTTGTGACACAAATTCCATGCGACCGCGATATATTTAATCTACACAGCAGTAACAGTGTCAAACTACTCAAAATTTCATGATTGCTCCTCAATATTCTCGACATTTTTTGTGTCATAAATCTTATGTAACCGTCATATTCCCTCCAAATGGGAGAAATAATGCGATACTACACGAATTATAAAAAAATGTGACGTTATTTTCACATTTCTACTCTTGATGCCGTGAGTGACTCTAGCGTCGTTCTGCCCAAAGATATGCTTCAGAAGGAAGAGTTGGGATCGCAATGTCCATGATTTACAAATAGTCCTGACAAAATTATTTTACTCATAACAGAGTTGAAATTTTATTATTTTCATAAATGTCTTCCAAGTGTACGATTAAATAATGTTTTAATGATTACTAGTGAATTATTAGTTCCAAAATTATGAAAATGGTTTCTTAAAATTTCTCAAATGATTTCCCACTCATTCCATCGATTGGGTGTAACGCGCGGGACGGTCTGCGGTCCCAGTTCTGCTACAGAGCTATTGCCGCTATGTCTGTTGTCATTATTAGCTGATGTGTCAAAATCAGACTCATCCCCGCAGTCTTTATCGAAATTTTGGAACGTAACTCTCCTCAAAATTTTTTTGAATTTTGATAATGAAGAAGGCTTTGAACAGCGAGGAATAACCAGCTGAAGAAGTGGCTTCGTCACAGACGTGCCATTGTTGTACAATTGTACATGCTAAATTAATACTGTTAACGAATTAAACCGATGTTTCAGCGTGAATCTTACATATAATGCACATAATGTATATACCAATTATGCCTGTATAATCTCTCCCCATGCAATGGGACTTTGTATCCTCAGGCATTAATAAATAATAATAAAATAAAGTTTGAACTAGTACAAGTTTTTCATTGGAGAACTTTAATTGCAAGATGAAACAAAATATTATCCATCCGTAATTGAACTTCATTGTTCAAAATTAGTGGGTTTTCGGTGGAGTTGAAGAAAACTGGGTGGAAACGTATGAGAGCGGTTTAAATCAGTAGCGAAGCGGTAACCCGGGTTAAGTTGATTTTGACTATTGGCCAGTTTTTTACGAATATCTCGGAATCTAAAAGAGAAAAATTTTTGTCATGACCTTTTTATAGCCCTTAATTGATTCTACAAAAAAGGTCATAAGAAAAATTTTGCTATCTCTTAGGTTTTGAGATATTCATCAAAAACGGATCAAAAGTCAAAATCGACTTAACCCGGTTTACCGCTTCACTACTGAAATATAAAAAGTTATGCTCAGATGATTCAGAATCACCTGAAACGTGCAGATTCACTCTTCCCTGAAGAGGTCATTATGCGACCTTTTGGCTCAAATTCGGAAAAAAATTGAAAATCTCCCTTGAAAAGTGAAAAAAAAATGTCCCCAAAAGTTATGCTCAGATGATTTAGAATCATCTAAAACGTAGAGATTCACTCTCCCTTGGAGAGGTCATTATATGACCTTTTGGCACAAATTTTCGGGAAAATACAAAAATTTGTCGCACGCTCATCTCCGACACTCTGACTATACGGTGACGTCACGCGCAAGCGCATTGAGTCGGAGAGAGGCTGGTGTGCGTGCGAGCGGCGCCGACATATACTCATTATGTTCTCTCTCGCATCAAGGGTTCTCCGTCAGAACCTACCTGGAGGGGTAGAAATAGAAAATCCCGGTAAACTTAATACCTGTCGGAGATAGAGGAAAATATTTCCTACAAAAACTGTCGGGAAAATTATAATAAAAATTATGGAAAGAAAAGAAATTCATTAATTAACAAAAAAGTTATACTCAATTTTAAGTTGTAATTACATGAAAATTGCTTCCCAATGGAGTGAAAAAAAATAGACTTGAAGCTGAAACCTTTTTGAACGTTCAGCAAGACGAAAAAATTGAAAAAAGTTTTTTTTTCGATGTTTTTTTTATTTTTCTCACCCCACATTTTCCAACGGCTCTGGGGGATGAACGATGCAGAATAGGGGTGAAGTCGTCGAGACCATTTTTGTAGAGAATTTTACGCTCTACAACTTTGTTCTTCACCTTTTACATCGTAACTCGAGTATTTCTCGAGTTATTTTAGAAAAACAGATTTTTGGAGGTCATTTTCAATTTTTTCAACCCTTCCCTGGAGGGGGAGCATTCTGATTGGTCTTATATGTTGATTACAATAAAAAAACTAATTTATATACAAAAACGCAAACTGGCTTTCAAAACCATGCATTTTCAGACACCATTCACTGGACTAATAGTCTCGCCAGGAACTATTGTGCAGGAACTATTAAGTCTATTGTGTTGCATGGCTGTTGCATTAGGGGTAGCATGTCTCGGACCATCTTTGTTCAATTCCCTTGGGCAATGGAATGCATGATACGACAAAGTAATTAAAAATCAATTTTGCTCCATTGTCGATTACAAAGGTAATTTGAATGGCATTTTCGTTTGTAGCCATTAAAATGGCATTAAGGAGTAGTTTACATACTATTGTAGATAGAAGTAATAGAAGTAGACAGAAGTAATCAAATTTTATTTTCCTAATTGATCATTCATTCCAAATGCTAGCACAGGTTTAGTACGCTGTTAGAAATTTGTTAAAATTTCAGTCATGGTGGGATATGAATTTTCAATGTTGTGAGGTTGAATTTAATGTCAAATGAAAGCGCTGTCATTAAATTTCTCATTCATCTTGAATATTCAAAAAAATTGGGTTTTTCATGATAAACAATCATTGATTTTTCAATGAAAACTTGAATTTCCAAACTCATCGTGAAAATTGAGCATCATATACAATTCAATTCTCAATAGATTGAGAATTCAGAAAAATTGTTGCTTAAATTTTCAAAATTTTTAAGATTTTTCAGTGCCGTGTGAACCAGAAAACCGAGAATCACTTGAATATTCAAAAAATTAACTGAGTCAATGAAGAAATATACAGAAATTTCATGTAACTTTGTCGTTGTGAAAAATTTTAAGCTTTTTAATTTTCTAATAGTGTATGCAATGTCGAGAAAATTGACTTTTATTATTAGAGTTTAGGTTTTCGATTGGGCTGAATCCGAAAATCCGAAGTCGGTTTTTCCAAGTTGTGGCCGGGTTTATTTATTTAGGGGAGAGTGGGGCAAAATGAAACAGTAAAAAAAACGACTGTTTAACGCAATCCAAGCAAAAAATTTTTTTTTTCATGAAATTTTTTTTTTGCAATTTTTTCTATTTTCGGGAGTACTGATGAGAATGATAATTCTCTATTCAATAGAATGGAAAATTATTGAGAAGTTTGGATGGGCGAAGATTTTGTCAATGGATTATTCGATTGAAATTCAGCATCACATTTTACTTTTTCCTCCTCTGGGTCGGCCCCAGGGACTTTCTCGGGAGTTTCGATTTTGCTGTTTCATGTTATTTTTAATTAATCCATTGACAAAATCGAAATTTCCCGCTAAGTGAATATTGATTCCGTATTTATTGGCCCGTCTAATGCCAATAAAACCCTCAGGGGGCCCAGCAATGTAGAAATGAAAAATTTTTTTTCACCAAAATCGAAAGTCGACTTTCGCCAAAATCGAATTTTTCCGCCAAGTGAGGGTTGATTCTGCATCTACTCGCGATTCTGATGCCAATGTAATCCTCGGAGGTGCCAGAAATTTCGAAAAAGAAAATTTTTATTTCCACCTGGATCAAGAGTCAGATTTTTTAACAATTTCATTTTTTATTTAGACATCGCATGCAAGCGGAGGGACGAGGTTGGCTAGAATAGATTCTGCAATCTTCTCCACTTATCGGGTAAAAATTTCAAGCCTCCGCATACATGCGTCTTCCGTCCACCACCTCGTGAAATGTCGATTTTCGAGATTAAAAAAAAATTTAATAATTACATTTTTTGTTTCAATAACGCATGCGTAAAGATGGATATGAACCCGGATTTAAAAAGAACACTAGTAAGTGATTTCAGTTTGGCCGCGCGGGACAAGAGGACTCTGATGGACGATCTTCGAAGTTAAGCATCGGCTTGCCGAAACTGGGATGGGTGCAACTGAACACAGTCAACTGACCACATTTGCAACTGGCCACAGGTTTTTCAATTCCGGCAATTGGCCACAACATCAAATACTATCTAGTTTACAAATACTATCTATCTAGATGGTGATCCGTCACCGTTATTTGGACTTAGTCTTCTTTATCAACGAAATCGTTCGATCCTTATGTTTAAGAGATGGCGTTGATATGTCTAAAATTATAAAACATCACCAGATCATTAAATAAACATTGCCCCCGTAACTGAGCCACCATTGATTGAAAAACATCGCAGAAGCCTCGTACAATGATCGGGTAAAGATCCAACAATACTTATCGTACTGTGCTCTCCACAATTATCAGGCATAAAACATCACTATATCATCGAATAAATATCCCTGTTTTTATTTGAACCGTTACTCCTTGAAGCACATCGCATAAACCTCGCCGAATGATCGCACAGAATTTCAATAACTATCGCATTGAAATTTCGGCAACCGAACAGAAAACCTCACCATATCATCAAACAAACATCACCCCCACATCTGAGCCACCATTCATTGGAGAACATCGCAGGAACCTCGTACAATGATCGTAGACAGATCTAACAATAGTTATCGTACTGCACTCTCCAGTTGACATAAAACATCACTATATCATCGAATAAATATCCCCTTTTATTCGAATCATTACTCCTTGAAAAACATCGCAGAAACCTCGTAAAATGATCGTAGACAGATCTAACAATAATTATCGTACTAAACTCTCCACAATTATCAGGCATAAAACATCACCATATCATTGAATAAATATCCCCTTTTGTATTTGAACCGTTACTCCTTGAAAAACATCGCATAAACCTCGCCGAATGATCGCACAGAATGTCAATAACTATCGCATTGAAATTTCGGCAATCGAACAGAAAATCTCACCATATCATCAAACAAACATCACCCCCGCATCTGAGCCCCCATTCATTGGAGAACAATAGTCAATAGTAACAATAGTTATCGTACTGCACTGTCCAGTTATCAGACATAAAACATCACCATATCATTGAATAAATATCCCCTTTTCTATTTGAACCGTTACTCTTTGAAAAACATCGCATCAACCTCGCCGAATGATCGCACAGAATTTCAATAACTATCGCATTGAAATTTCGGCAATCGAACAGAAAATCTCACCATATCATCAAACAAACATCACCCCCGCATCTGAGCCCCCATTCATTGGAGAACAATAGTCAATAGTAACAATAGTTATCGTACTGCANCCTTATGTTTAAGAGATGGCGTTGATATGTCTAAAATTATAAAACATCACCAGATCATTAAATAAACATTGCCCCCGTAACTGAGCCACCATTGATTGAAAAACATCGCAGAAGCCTCGTACAATGATCGGGTAAAGATCCAACAATACTTATCGTACTGTGCTCTCCACAATTATCAGGCATAAAACATCACTATATCATCGAATAAATATCCCTGTTTTTATTTGAACCGTTACTCCTTGAAGCACATCGCATAAACCTCGCCGAATGATCGCACAGAATTTCAATAACTATCGCATTGAAATTTCGGCAACCGAACAGAAAACCTCACCATATCATCAAACAAACATCACCCCCACATCTGAGCCACCATTCATTGGAGAACATCGCAGGAACCTCGTACAATGATCGTAGACAGATCTAACAATAGTTATCGTACTGCACTCTCCAGTTGACATAAAACATCACTATATCATCGAATAAATATCCCCTTTTATTCGAATCATTACTCCTTGAAAAACATCGCAGAAACCTCGTAAAATGATCGTAGACAGATCTAACAATAATTATCGTACTAAACTCTCCACAATTATCAGGCATAAAACATCACCATATCATTGAATAAATATCCCCTTTTGTATTTGAACCGTTACTCCTTGAAAAACATCGCATAAACCTCGCCGAATGATCGCACAGAATTTCAATAACTATCGCATTGAAATTTCGGCAATTATCGAACGGAAAACCTCACCATATCATCAAACAAACGTCACCCCCGCATCTGAGCCACCATTCATTGGAGAACATCGCAGAAACCTCGTACAATGATCGTAGACAGATCTAACAATAGTTATCGTACTGCACTGTCCAGTTATCAGACATAAAACATCACCATATCATTGAATAAATATCCCCTTTTGTATTTGAACCGTTACTCCTTGAAAAACATCGCATCAACCTCGCCGAATGATCGCACAGAATTTCAATAACTATCGCATTGAAATTTCGACATTTATAGAACAGAAAACCTCACCATATCATCAAATAAACATCCCCCTCGCATCTCAACAACCACTCCTTGACAAATATCATATAGACCTCGCAGAATATAATAACTATGGTACTGGAATTTCGGCAATTATCGAACAGAAAACCTCACCATATCATCAAACAAACATCACCCCCGCATCTGAGCCACCATTCATTGAAGGACATCGCAGAAACCTCATACAATGATCGTTGATAGATCTAACAATAGTTATCGTACTGCACTCTCCACAATTATCAGCCATAAAACATCACTATATCATCCACTCCACAATGATCAGGCATAAAACATCACCATATCATCGAATAAACATCGCCACCTCAATCAATTGATAAACATCGCCGAAACCTCATACAATAATCGCAGAGAGCTCTGATAATGATTGTACTGCACTCGGCGATTGTAGGGCACAAAACATCACCATATCATCAAATAAATTTCATCAAATAAACATCCTCCTTGCATTTGAACCGCCACTCATTGAAAAACATCTCATAAACCTCGCAAAATGATCGTACAGATTTTTAATATCTATCGTATTGAAATTTTGCCAATCGTCGAACAGAAAACCTCACCATATCATCAAACAAACATCGCCCTCACATCTGAGCCGCCACTTATCGACCAGCATTGTGGAAACCTTGCAGAATGATCGCAATGAAATTTAATAACCATAATAATGAACATGGTCAGGGGTTTCAAGGAGACCATCATAAAAACATCGAAGAATTATTGTACTGGACTTGGAGCTATCTGTTCTTTGGGAACGTTCCTGAAAGATCGTCAAAACATCGAACATTTATCGAACTAAACTCTGGGTTGTGGTTGGGGAGAACATCTTCATATAGAATCGAAGAATTGTGTTCTGTGTAGTGGCTCAAAAGAGACTATTATCGAAACATGGACATGGACATCGGAAATTCCACCTTAATAGCACTAGAATTTTTCACAGCGGGTGGATTGTGATTTTTTCCAGTATTCGCACTAGAATTTTTTTAGAAAATTTCTCTCCGTGCGAAACATCGAACTATGGCATCAGTTTTTGCGCAATGCGTTAAGAAACCACATCGCCATACCATCGGAGAAAGATTACAATGGACTTTGAGTGACATATTGTTAGTCATAAAATAGTCAAATCTCCGTGTAAACATGATGATGGTAAAAGATTGAAAATAGTGCATTATTCTATATATTCGTTGAAAAAAAACCAACAGCCATCGTCCTGAATTTTCGGTCATTGTGTTTTAGGAAAATATAACGACAACATCGAACAATTATCGCGGAGAACGCGGAGCAATCACTCATTTGGAAAACATTGCTAGGGCATTGGCAAAACATCGGACACCCATAGCTACCGCCGTGGAAATGAATATATGTTGAAAATATATAAGACATATGTCATATATGAAATATATGTATCATATACGAGTCAGATAAAAAAATTGTATATTTTGTTGTATACGTGTAAAAATATATGGAGAAATATATATGCATATATGGATCATATATGAACCATATACTCATATATATGTGATTGTATATATGAATCTCATATATGAATCATGGGTCTAATGCCATAACATACTATTTCACATATATTTTTCCGTGGGGGTACTTAATTCCGTGCTGTTTTTCAAGAAAGAACCTCGAAATAGCGCAGGCAATTTGTCACATTTAGCTACGAATGATTTAAATTTATTCTAAAAAATATCGTAATAGTATACACGATGGCACGTCGGAACATCAAAGTTTCATCGCAATAGTTTTCGCGCAGTGTTTCATGCAACAATATCGCTATACTGTCGAANATCCTTTTCTGTGGGCAATTGCATTTTGGTTAAACGCCTGAACACCCGTAACATTCTTCCATGAGGCCAAGGCAGTATTTTATCATGCTCCATTGATAAAAAATTAGACCAATCTCAAGCACGACTCAGAGTGATCAATCTTTGGAAGAGATTACTATCGTCATTTCGAAGGGCGTTATTATATACAACCGTGAATAAAAAAGCTATCGCTGAAACGTCGAACAATGTTCGGCCTGGGAACGCAGCAATTACTTCAACATCAGAGGAACATGTAATAATTATAGTATTTAATTCGGAGCAATCAGTTATCGTAAAACGATGCCCTAATTTCGCAGAATGACTGAATGGGGTTCAATTAACTGTATGAATTCGAAAAAATTTGGACAAAGGATAGTATCGAAGAAAATTATTGAAACATTGTAACATTTTGACAGTGGATGACAAACAATGCTTTAGCGAACCACCGCCAAAATCTCGAAAAATTGTCGCGCTCGGCTCGAAATAATCACTGACTTGAAAAGATGGCTAAAAGATCGGCGAAACATCAAAGAATTCCTAG